AGAAAATAACTGCACTTGGGCGTATGCATATATCTATGCCTTTGTCTGTGTGCCGCCCCAAAACACTCTTTTCGAGGTTACTACCTTGCTGGAATCGAATAGTTCACAAAGAAGAGAGTAAAGATACAAACACAATATGCAGGCACATTTATATATCTGCAGATCTATGCCCCCAGAAGTAGGCATACTTGGACGCAAATGCAGATATATATATATATATATATATGTATATACATATATATATATATATATATATTTATGCATGTGTATGTATATGTAGCTGCGCGTAAATGTATTAGTAGTACATATACATATACCACTGATAAGTGCGTTTACGTGCAGCTACAACAGCACGAAAAAATGTTTTTAGCGTGCGTTCATGAACGGGTTTCCAAAGGCGTATGTTCTCGGCGTGTTTGCACTTACTGCTTGGAGTGTTTAAATAAATAACCATCGGCCACAACGACCGGCAATTGAAATTTTTAACAGTACACCCATCAGTGTGCGGCCCAAAGTTCTCTCCGTCTGCATACCTGCGCATTCACACCTGCGGAAAGAAGTGCCCTGCGTTGGTTTGTTCGTAGTGCCCCTCGCTCTGTTTATTCGCGTAGTCACCTCTCTCGTGGTACTTGGTGGGTTGCACCTCCTTGCTCCCACCGTCTCTACTTGTAGATGTTCCCCTAATAATGAGTCCCGCCTTTTTCTATTTTGTTGCTGAGTTTTTTCTTGGCTACTTTTTCTGACTATCGCTCCTGCAGTTGCATAGACTTGCTCTCGTCAGCTATGAGCTACATCTAAGGTCCGTTCTTCGAGTGGGTTCAGTTCCCGTACATTGTTTCGTGTTTAGGGTTACTTGCTTGACCTAATACCTGGCAAACAGTAGAGTGCTGTTAACCCCGCAGGCCTCCCACGTGCCCTTTAAATCCCTTTCAAACCTTTCTCCGTCTTCCTCTGAGAAAGAAACCTCTCTAACCACCAACTCCTTCACGCGTTCCTGTAGCAAAAAAACGCACAGACGCAGCGGCAGCTGCTGTCTCAGATGCTGCAACTGAGCGATGCTCAGAGGAGCTAGCTGGCTAGCCATATACATTCCTAGCTATGTCTACGACTTCGCCTGGTACATCTGTTGCAGCGGACTTCTAGCAGCAGCTGCGCCTGCTACAACAGCAACAGCCGTATCACCCACCATACCGGAGCTATACATACCAAGAAACAAGCTGCTAATATACCAATAACAGTATAGCCCATACAGACTAAAACGCCAGCTCGTTCACTGAGACAACCAAACTTAGCATTCCGTTGGAAGGCCCTGCACGTGCGTTTCTTCTACTTTACAACGGATTGCATTCGAATTCAGGATATAACCTTATCGTAGTGAAACATGCGTTCGGAAGCGCAGGGCCTCCCAACTCTTAAGGGGCCCTGGTAGTGTCTCCTTCAAGTGCCCTTAAAGGGGAGACAGGTGTCTGGCGTGGTGACAAGGGCGCGGCAAAGATTTGTATTTGTGCGAGAGTGTCAACATATTACAAAACAGCATCAATTTGGCTACAAACTCAGAGAATTCTCCCCATATTTACGTCGCAGGCAGTAACTGCTGTAATCGGAGAGGCAAATGAAGTGCTTTCCGCAACTTAGCTGCCTCCCACGAGCCGTCCTCATGTAGTGGCTACTGTACCCCAAGCAATGGAAGCTAAGCATTTTCCTTCTTGAAGTAAAACCCCATGCAGTAAGCACCCATGACACTGCAACACCTTCCAACATAGAAAGAGCTACAGGGAATCTTCAATTAAGATGTGTAAATGAGCACAATAAACCTACACCTGGAAACGGAGGACCAAACAATACACAGAAAACCCAAATCTTTGTCTAGACCCATTAGGACGTCGGCGCTAAGACACAAGTGGCCGCGACCTTTTTAATTGTAAGGCCCTTCATGACGCAAATAGACAACTCGCCGCGTTTCGCTCGACCTTTTGGGTGGGAGCCGCCGATGATTACGGAGGGCGAAAACAAAGCGAAGCGTTCCGTTTCAAGGCAATACCACTAACGAAAGTGACTCAGCGCGTTTTAGCAAACCAGATAATACGTAAGCATTTTCGACCCTCTCCTCAAACTCGATGTACTGAAGCGCTGCTTAACCTTTTCTTCTAGATACAACGAAGGCTACATAGGTGTATGTAAATCATTTTATCGTGCCGATATTAGCAACAGAATCAAAACTGCCAGCCTAACTGTCTAGGTGCTTCGCTATGCAGCTAGGTGCCCACGTAGTCATCTAGATAGTGAGCTGTGCTACTCTTGGATAGACCTACCCAAATGAGGTCTGCAAGTTCCGAATGTTCCACCTCGAGCGTGTAGGCAGACCGATAGTTATGGTTTGCGCGTGTACTCACAATGCTGCTGCCACTGTTTCTGCTGCCGTTGTCGTTGCAGGTGTCACAGCCATTGCCGCTGTTCTCCGTCTCTTTGGCCCAATAGTCGAATCCCTGGGCCTCCGCTGCCTCGACGAGCCGTTGGCACTCACCCACAGAAAGAACGCACTTCAGTTCGAAGCTGTCCCTAGCGCCTTGTATATCTACTCTGTTTCTTTTCCCTTTTGCGGCCTCTGAAAGTCGCGTACCCCCCAGAACAGAAGCTAGCGGCATCACTGTGGGCCCCCAAGCAATGGGCTTGTCTACCACGTGCTGCAGCCGTGGGCCCCCTCCCCCATCTTGGAAATGTAACTGCTGCTTCTGCGTCCTCACTCGAAACCGTAGAGCCATGTCTGCAACGTCTTCCTCTGCAGACGAGAAGCTAGAGCAACCCTCTTCGGGCTGCAGGCGCGGTTGCAAAGCCTGCCGCACCAGCCCCATCCTCATCAAAGCCACCAAACCGCTTGAAAAAAGGTATATGCACACAGGAGCAAGGAGAGAAAATGCAAGAACAGAGAAATGCGTAGATGGGACAGTAACAAGCCGGCAAAATAACAAGAGATGGGGATTAGCCGTAGAATGCCCGGGTCATCTACTCTTTCGTCTGTCCCCTAGCGTGCGTTTACAAAAACGAAGCGGCAGAAAATACTACTATTGTATCTTGGTTTGAGTTATTCCCGCTGATGACGAGTTCCTCTCCTCAACCCGCATGGTCTTCGGAGCTCTTCGGGGCCCCACATGGGCGCCTCAACAAAGAGCGACAAACAAAAGAAAAGGCAAATAAGTTATTAATTTGCATTATTAGATTAATTTTAAGTATAAAAAATACTTACGAAAACTGGCAACCCCTTATGTGTCGTTGACGCCCACTGGACGACAACACCCTGCAGCGAACCGCCATGTGAGGGTCCTCCACCTCGCGTTTCGCCGCGACCTTCCACAAAAAAAACAGGCATTAGAAAGGGGCGTAAGTTGATGAAATATATCAAATTCGGCCTAACGCACTTATGATACGCAAAGGCAGCAGTACCAGCTGCGCCGCCAATGGCTGAACGGAAGGAAACGCCAATCCTGCCGGGGCCGCGCTGTTCTGGTCTATGCGGACTTCGGTTTATCCTCTGTGGGATCACCTCCGTAAATAAGAATCAGTAAGAGCACAACAGTGCCTGTGAAGTGCAGTGACAGCACACAGTCCAAACAAACCCCTAGTACGCCCAAGCCCACAAACAAACCATGGCCTGCTTATACTCGCCGATACTCCCCCGGAAAACGCACGACGGGCACACCCCGCATTCCTCAAAAACTCCATTTCCCCTAAGCATACGCCAAACCCATAAACAAGCCATGGCCCGCTTATACTAGCCCATCCCCCCCAGAAAAACTCAGGACGGGGCTACAGACGCAGTGCAAATACTACAGTCCGGCCTCACGCAGTTCAACACGACAATCGCCTTACTTTCCCCTCATCGCAGCCACTTACAGTACGTATACTCCAACATAGAACCACAAGATACTCCGTTAGCCCTTCAGTGTCCATTCAAACCCAAACGACCGCACACTGTATGCAAACGCCTGGTCCCGCTAAGCCCTGTAAACCCGCAGCTGAGGGTTTATGCACAAACTTGAGGTTCGTCCACACAGACACACAAGACACACCGATGAAAACAGCAAGTGCTACGAAATAGTAAAAGCCGCCACTGGGGTGCAGCCGATCCTCGGTGTCAGTGCAGGGAGTTCTTAGAGGGGCAAGGGAATCTGCAGCACAACCGCACATTGCACTTGCTGAGTGAAGACTGTTCCTGTTGAGGAATACTTATTACTTCTTAGTTAAGCCTAAAGAATACAACAACGACAGCTGCTGCTTGCCCCCAGCTCGGGCCGACTGCCGCAGGCGTGTATACGGGCGGCAGGAATTGAGAAACATTTGTGCACCCCACTGCGTATCAACAATCATACATGCATTACCTATTACATACCGAGTAATGAAGAAGTGCTACCCATCACGCAGCACATGCATTATCCATGCTAAACAGACGGGTTACGACATATGCCTACACCCACTACGCGCAAACGCAGCCTCAACCCTCTGCAATAACGCATCTGCGTGTGCATATACACTCCTGAACTCAAAATATATACAACACGTACCGTCAGCACAGCTTGCATGCACCCAAATACGAGCTCATACGGCATACAGCATAGATACTATCTTTATACAACTCAGCATGCATGTGTTTACGAAGTGTGCATGCACGGAACGTGTACACTACAGACGAGATGGACGGCGGCGCATTTACAGCGCAGAAACTGCATGAATATGCTCATCCACGAGCAGCTGTGCATACACCAGAATGCCAGACTCACGAATTAGGAGCGAGCTATAGCCCAGCCTGGCGTGGCGCAAGACGAACTTCAGGATTCCCGCCTTGTCAGGGGCCTGAGAAGACAGATAAACCACACGGACCAATAAGGCCAGTGCCAGACGGCGAAATGGAGAAGCGACTGGGAGGTAGAAATTCTTCAGGCTATGATGTTCTCTTCTCATTTTAGTAATAGCATTTTCACACAACCAAAAAAATAACTGCGCCGGGCCGATTCGCGTGTATTTGGTTTGTTGAGGGTCTTTCTTCGGGCTGCTGCAGCTGAGTCTCTGCATCCTCCAGATGCACAAGGGCTTGAGCGTAACCGAGGGGAAAACTCTGGAGTGTTCTCTGACCCAGAACCCAAAACCCTAATCCCTGGAGCCTCTCGTAACCTTCATGCAGCAAACGTATTGTTGGCACTAGCATGAGCAGCGCGAATCCTGAAGCCTGGGCCCGAAACTCAGTGCTAAGGCCAAACCCCTAAACATCGAGCCGCATATCCTAGACCCTAATTCCTAAGCGCTGTCTTCTGCAGTGAGCACCTTGAACTCAGCAGAAAACGTTGGGCTGTCCGCCTCTCTCTGGAGGAAAAGCCGCTGCAAAGGGTCCCCCAGAACATATTCCAGCTGAACATCGTGGCCCTCAAACGGCCTCCACACGCCTGAACCCGCAAACATCAAACCCCAAACCCTACACCGCACCGCTAGAACCCGTTCCTCGGACTGAGCATGGAGACGATAAGCGCAGGCATGCCAGGGACTAGGTCTTAAGATTTAGGTTAGCGGCGAAGGGAGCGCCAACTTAGAGGAAGGCGCCTTTAACATGGAGTAAAATCAGAACCGAAGGAAAAGCTCGCCTTCTCTTAGCTCGTGCAAATCCACAGAAAAGCGCAGGAGGTCGCCGACGGTGTAAAGACGGCTGTTCTCCCCTCCAACCTGCAGAGACACCGTAACGACCAAACGCAGAAAACAGCAATGGAGATTATCCTCAGCCCCAAACACCATGCCTTGTTGCCATCGGAAGCAGCAGCTCTTAAATTATGTTACTGCTATTACAGCATCAGGAGGGAAAGCAGCAACCGCAGTTGAAAGAGCAACAGCAGTAGAAGGAGCAGCAGTAGGAGCAGCAACAGCAGACCTTGTGATGCTTCACGTTGGACCATCGAAGAACTCCGTGCCTGTTTAGGGCCCATGCCGTTGCCTCCATGCAGAAGCGCTTATTAACAACTCGCTGAAAAAAAACACCTACTCTTCATTGCCACATCAGCAGCAGCAGCCGATCCCGAAGCAGCAGCACACGCAGCAGGTCCCGAAGCAACAGCAGCAGCACCAAAACTCAAAACAGCAGCAGCAGTAGGCTGACGAATTCGTATCCGGCAAAAGTAACGTAGTCCATGCCTGTGAAGGTGCCGCTGCACGCCTGTGGGCCGCTCAAGAGGAGAACTCTGTTGTTACCCCGCGTTTGCAGCGCCGAGGCGAAGGCCATTCTGCTGATGCTGCTGTAGTCGCTGTGGCTGCTGTGGCTGCTGCTGCTGCTGTCTACCGCCAGTGCGGTAGGAGGCGCCAGCAACAGGGGAAATGCATACGGGGGCAGCTGTTCCTTCTCGCACTCCCGGGACCCACAGCCAACCTGAAGAGCCCCCAAGTGGTAGCCGCCGCTGTATAAGAGTACCTCATCTGCAACGCGCATGCAACAGCAGCAGCAGCAGCAGTTGTATCAGCGGCACCAGCAGTATCAGCGGCGGCACATTCAGTCCTACCCACAGAACCCTAGAGCAACAGAAAACAAAGGCGGAGGCAGAGCGATAGGCGTGAATTCATCGGCACCATGCGGGACAGCTGCAGCAGCAGGAACAGCTACTGCAGCGGAGGAAACTGCGACTCACCCTCGGCGAGCGGAGTGACAACGTGAGGATGGCCGTCAAGAAGTTCTCGAACAACAAAGACTGCCCCCTGACGCTGCTGCTGGTTCTGGTGCTGCGTCTGCTTCTCTGGGATTAAGCCATCAAGAGAGACCGCGCCAAACAGGTCTGCTGCTTGCTGCTGCAAGAAGGAAGGAGCAACTGACGCCGGGCCAAAGACAGCAGCAGCCAGCTGCAACAAAGAGGGAGACGCAGCCGGCCCAAGCAACAGCAGCAGCGAACGGCTTTTCTCAAGCGGGGAGTAGTACTGCTGCTGCGGCGGTGGCTGCTGCTGATGCAGGTTTTCTTGCATCAGCCGAGGCAGCAGCTGCTGCTGCTGCCGCTGGTGTTGCTCATGGTTGGCTCCTTGAGACTCCTCGCCTCCACCGTCAAGCCAATTTAGAATAGCATTGATTGTCCGTTCTTTCATCTCTACAAAGAGACAAACAACGAGAGGAGTGCGCAATGGAGACGAGGGAATGCAGCGAGACATCAACAACAAGACAGACGACGCTTAATCTACAAGAGAGAGGGTCTTCTGGGGGGATGAAGGAGAAGAAGACAGGGGGTGTTTGAGAAGCAGGAAAAGGAAGAAAGTGCACGAAAGGCAAGGGAAAGCTGGAAGCAGAAGGGCAATTGCAGCATGGAAATGAGCGCAATGCAGGGCCGGCAGAGACAGGGTTAGAAGCGCTGAAGAGAGGTGCAGCCAAGAGGAGGGAGACAGTACAAGAGACAACCCAAGCCAGGCAACAAGCGCGGGTGAAAAGGAAGACACACACAGACGGCGGAAAACACAGAAGACACAAAAAAGCGGAGATATACAAGTACGAAGGACAGAGAGACAGAAAGACGAAACAGGAAAGAGGGTAATGTTCTCGTAGTAGGCAAAAGAAAAAGGTGGTGCGCGGTTCAAGACGGCGGCAGCCAAGACGGCCCAGACAGACGTGCAGCAGGCAATATTAAAAAGCTGGAGAACATCCAACGGAAAAGACTTAATGAAAATTCATCTGTTAGTACCCCCTGCAACCTACGATGTTTGTCGGAGGTGGACACGATGAGAATGAAGTTGAACAGGGCCTCCCCAAATGCAAACAAGCGGGGCTCCGCGGAGAGAGGTAGCGCTGTGACTTCAACGCCTGCGGTGTCTGCACACATGCAACATACAAGCAACACCGACAGAGACCGATAGCGAAGGCAACTGTGCCTGTACACCAGTTGTCCATACAACTTAACCTGTGGCGTGTCGAGATACTTGAGCGCCACAGAAAGCCATTCACCAGCACAAATGGAACCCAATAAAGATATAAGGAAGATGGGGCAAAGCAAATAAAGGGCTCAAAGGAAAAAGAAGTGCTCCACATGCAGCAACGTCTGTACAAGAGTGAAAAATGAGGAAACAGGCAAGACAGAGAAACTAGCCCGATCTCTCCCTGCACCTTCTATGTAAGTCAGCAGCGTTGGGTACATCTCGCGGGCCCAATTGATAGCCTCTCCATCCTTGTCGTTCCCCAGAGAAAAGTCATGCATCAGCAGCAGTCGAGGGCTTTCGTGCTGGTGCTCTTGCTGCTGTTCGTTGAAATAAGGCACAGAAGGCGCGTCCGGAGGTGCAGGAGGGACTGGCACAGGCGCTGCAGCGCCTGGAGTATATGCATGCTCAAATGAAAATAGCACACAAAACGCGAAGGCGCCAACAACCGACCGCTTGGCTATACCAATGCTGAGAGGGGGGCCCTTTAGGGGCCCGTCTACGGGCCCCCCAGGAGGCGAGGGTCTTGGGCCCTCCCTGCAAAAACGCAACTTCATTGACTTTTATATTTTAATGCCCGGAGGGGTAAAGAGAAGACACCACAGATCGAGATGGAAAAGAATGGAAAGGTCTGCCCCGGGTCCCCTCGAGGCCTTACCCCCCAAGGTGTATGTGCAGTTGGATTTAGCGAAGACGAAAATGGTATATATCTTGTTTTCAAACAGTGGAAATGAAAAGGTAACATGGATCGAACAAAAGCCAAAGAGAGGCTAAAATATTGGCAGGATACGGATTGCGCATCCTTTGCTATGCTGGGGCTTCCCTGGGCCCCCAATGTAGACGGTGTTTCAGACGGTACAAAATGGAGAAGCTAAACTTCTTGGGGCAGATAATGGGAAAATTTCCTGGTAATTTATTGCTATTGGCCTTCGTCAGCTCGTTGCCTTCGCCTTGACAACTGCAATCGCCGCGAGTGTTTACGTGTTGAAGAACAGTCCATTGTCACCCGCCGTCTCTTTCACCTTCATTTTCGAGGTCATTTAAAATTTCCCCTTCTGATTTCCTTTTATTTCCTTCCTTCCGTCTCAAAAGGAGCATGGCACGCCACAGCAAGAATGCCACTTCTGCTCCCTTTTACTCCTATCATGAGCGAAAGAAAATTCGCGGTGAGCCTCTACTGGGGTATTGCGCACGTACACGTCAACACTCGTGCAGGCAGATACATCTCGGAGGCGATTGAGCAGGAACAGCGTCGTGGAGCGCCCTGTTGTGTTGAACAACAGAGTGCATCGCAGCGTATTAACACTGGAGAATTTACTGAGGTGTATATTCACCGCAGAGCCCAATGCGTGCTCGCAACTGGTATTGCCTTCATCCCTTGACCTTGCCTTCAGCTCCTGCGCCTGTTAGTTATTGTTGTTTGCAGCGCTGGGTGTCGGGACACTGAAGGGGCGATTGGATACCCGTGCATGCAGACGCTTCGAGAGCTGTTGGCTGTGCCTCAGCCCCGCTAGAAACCCCGTAGCGACACCCCAGGTGCCTGCTCTAGGTTTAAGGGTTTAGGGTTTGGGATTGGGGCCTGAGTAGGGCTGTGGATTAACAGTGTGGTGTCTAGAGCGCAGAAAGGCTTACGTAGCAGGGGTGTGTTTGGGTGGCTGTAGGGTTTGCTGTTCTGCAAAGAATGCCTTTTCCTAAATTTTGAGTCTCAAAAAAAGAAGATAAAAAAAGAAGAAAAAGAGTGGCAGGCTCTTCAGGCGCAGGAGGAACAGGCAAGCTCAAAACCCTAAATCCCTTTGCCTACTGGAAGGGGAGAGGTTTCAGAGCTTGTGCTGTCTATTTATAAACAGAACAGCGCCACAATATCGCCCAAGATACGCAGTGGCTGCTAGAGATGTTTCGCTCGATGATCTGCTCTCAAAACACCCTAAAAGCAAAAGAAACGCTATTTGTGCCCCCTTTGTTCGGATGGGCTTGCGGCTCTCTTGCGTTTCTCAGGAAAAAGCAGCAGCAGCAGACTTTTCCTAAATTTTGAGTCTCAAAAAAAGAAGATAAAAAAAGAAGAAAAAGAGTGGCAGGCTCTTCAGGCGCAGGAGGAACAGGCAAGCTCAAAACCCTAAATCCCTTTGCCTACTGGAAGGGGAGAGGTTTCAGAGCTTGTGCTGTCTATTTATAAACAGAACAGCGCCACAATATCGCCCAAGATACGCAGTGGCTGCTAGAGATGTTTCGCTCGATGATCTGCTCTCAAAACACCCTAAAAGCAAAAGAAACGCTATTTGTGCCCCCCTTTGTTCGGATGGGCTTGCGGCTCTCTTGCGTTTCTCAGGAAAAAGCAGCAGCAGCAGAAGCAGCAGCCACAGCAGCCCAACGCGCTTTCTTAGAAGCCGAAGCATCTCTTACTCTCGACACCTCCACTGCGGTTAATCCCAACGCCCAAACAGCGCTGAGCGCAGAAGAATTCGTGAACAAGCACTAAACCCTAATCCAAATCCATTTTCGTCAGGGGAGAAAACCTGTCTGCCACAGTGCAAGCAGCAGGAACGAACAGCGAATGCTTTAGGTTTTGTAGCTGGAGGGTTGTTAAAGGTTAAGAGCTGAGGGTGTGCTGAGGCACCAAGGGTTTAAGGTTTAGAGTTGAGGGTCTGTCTGATTTGATGGCAGAGGAAAACCCTGGAGCAAACCGCTATCACATCTAAGGAGGAGGCGAGGGCGAAGAACTTCTGGGTGCGTTTTAATGTTCAGCTTAGGGTCCCTATTTTTAGGGTTCAGGATTGAACGGTAGAGGTTTTGATGTCCACACTGCGGCTGTTGTGTAGCAGCAGTAGCAGTGCAACAGACTGTACTTCCTCCTTGCTCATGCGCTCTCCACTTGCCATGCGTATCTTTGGGAGGATTCATGGTTTGACTTTTAGGATGTCGTATGTTTCAGGTTCCCGAGAATACACCAGATGAACCTCAAGCGAAGCCCAAGACTCCGCAGAAGTGGGTGTCAAACTCTTTTCTGGGGATTCGGGTGTAGGGTTTAGGGTCTGTTAATTGTCGAGCTGTTTCATCTTCCGAGCTGCATGCATAGTAGATGTGCTTTTTCCCACCACAGTTGCTGCTCTTCCTGCCGCTGCTGCTTTCTTGAAGCACTGCATGCCTCATTGTGGAGAGCCCCTGGGGCTGTGTTCCTGCAAGAACCGATGGTTGCTTCTGCAGTTGCTGCTGCGGCTGATGCATCCATGCGAATGTTTGTCTTTGGGCTGTCGCTGCAGGGGCCTCTGCTGCCCCATTACCGGGGCCACACTACGCATTAAGCAGCTTGTGACGGTGAAGCCGAATTTGGCTTCTAAAGAAGACACAGAGAATACGCGGTATGTCAGGATTCAAATTTGAATCCTGACACACCGCGGAAGAGCAACGGAAAGACACACTGGAGTTTGTCTTTCCGTTGCTCCTCCCCCCGCTCAATCATATGTCTCTTTCCTGTGATTTCTATGGCTTTTTCTCTGGTTGCATCGTCCTGACTTTTTTTACATCATTTCTGTCTATTTTCATTTCCTCCTTCCCCACGTTTGTTGCGTCGATGGCCCCTGACGCTTCTACCAGGGGTATATCTGTGGGTTTTTTCGTCTTTCATCAAATCCCGCTCTTGCCATCTACGTCCCTGTTCGTACTCCTATCCATGTCTTCGCTCTGTGCTTCTTTTGTGCGCTTGTTTTTAGATGCATTCATTTTTCCTCTCACACTGCTTCTGTCCTTCATGCCTTACTTTGGAGGATTCATCTCCTTCCCCACTTTTTATCGCATTTTTTCTATATTTGTTTTTGCGTCCCACGCATTTTTGACGGTGCCAATGAGGTGTCTGCTCAGCTCTATCTCGTCTGTGTCGTCTGAATTTTTTTGTTTTGGTGCTGCGTCTGTAGCAGTTGTGAATGCAACAGAGCACCTTATGAGGTCTGGTATTTGGCGCCTTGCTAATTTGTGAATTCGTCCGTTTCTGGTATCTTTTTCGCTTTGTGGTTTGCTTTTGCCTCTCCCGCTGCAGATGCTGGCTTCTTTAGGGCCTGCACCTTTGTTCCAGAGGTCTGTTTATTCAGGGCGTGGGCAGTCTGTGCCCCTACGGAAATTCTTTGTCTTCGCTTGTCAGTTTTGCTCTCCAGGTGGCTATGCGCTCTAAGTGGCCGAGAGATCTCGCATCAAAAAGCGGCGGTGGTGAAGACCACAGGCCAAGTCATTCTTCTCGTGAGCTCAGCACCTCTCGCTTGCTTTTGCATGTATGCTTGTGCACCCAAGTGCGTATACCCTGATGGCCTTGTTTATTTTCATGTTTTCAAGGAGCTCGAAAACTTGGAAATAAACGAAGTTGCATGCGGAGCTCCCATTCTTGCCCTTTGTAGAGTGTTTAAATTCGGCGTGAGATATGACTATGCAAAAGTATATATATGTATATATATATATATATGTATATATATATGTATATATGTATACATATACATATATATATATATATACATATTTCTATAGGACGAAATGTGCATTTTGTGTTTCTTATGCTTTGCGAGTT